CGCATATTTGCGACAGTCGATCTTTTCTAGTTATTTTCGTAAAATTGTGTAGGAGTGCTGTACGTAAAATTAGTAGGATATAGCAGTAGCAGCTGCTGGACATTAGCGCATATTTGCGACAGTCGATCTTTTCTAGTTATTTTTCAGCAGTGTTCTATGTATGTCATTGTGTAGTACAATCTGCTATATCTGCGTAGTATACTTCACTATTCTGTCTGTCCGTGTACTGTCTGTGTAGTACAGTGTTGCTGCAGACTCGCTGTAGTGCTTCTGTAACTGTTGCATGGCAGAAGATGGAGAGGAGACGGTGAGGAAGCGACGGAGGGCTTCATCATTCACCGAGAGCATCGTCGCCATTACTAAAGTCAGCACTGGTACAGTGACCAAGGTCAGTCACACTTCTGATTCCCTCCCATACATCAGTTATCTTCACACCTTCTGTGTCCTGCATCGCTCCCGGATCTCTCTTCGTACTGCTGAGCATCCCACATCCATCCGTCATCCCTCCTCTTCACACTTGCGTGCTGCATCCCTCCTGCAATCCTCTTCACACTCTCAGCATCCCACATCCATCCTTCATACCTCTTCTTCGCACCTTTAGTGTCCTGCATCCCTCCTGCAACCCTCCTCTTGAACTTCACACTCTCATCATCTCGTAACCCTCATAAATTCTTCCTCTTTTCACCCTTAGCTTTACGGGCAGCCATTTTTGAACTATAAGCAAAGTTTTGACCATTCTACATAGGCTCTCGGCAATTCACCAGAAATAGCCTCGCGACCCAAAGCGTCAACCCTCACCACCTGCTTACGGTGGTGACCCTTGATTTATCGCTATATATATATATATATTTATATATATCATTATTAATATTTATATACAGTCCGACCTCCTTTATCCGGCCACGTCGGGACCGGCACCCATCCGGATATGGGATTTGGCCGGATATGAGAGTTATGCTCAAACACAGCATTTCTGTGCAGTTCAGTAGGGTTTATGCATGTGATAATATATTTACTCGTTGCTATGATTATTTGTAACAAACTGTCGTGTTTTATGGTTTATATGAAATGGAAATAAAATGAAATAAAACAGAAATTTTACCGGAGGCATAGCGGACACGAGCGGACAACACACACACACACACGCGCGCGCGCGCGCACACACACGCAACACACGTACGGTTGGTACATCGCGCAAGTTTTGAGCGAGATTTTTAGGTGGAAATGAATGAAAAACAGA